GACTCAGTAAAACCTCGTTGGGATAAAATGATTTCTGCTGCATGTGGATGAAAAATGTGCAAGTGGCAGTCCCGTCATCCGCGCTTGTTAAAAAGTACGCATGCTAGATTAAAAGAGGATGTGGTGAAGCAGTCAGGCCCAAAGACTTCCTCTTTATTTTTTAAAATCTTTTACTGAGTGATACCTGCTATGTTCACACAGATAAACTTCCTTCTTGCCGTTTCTCTCCCTCACACAGATGCAGTTTCGGTTTTAATCTTTTCCTCTGTAAGAAGACAAAAATTGTGAAGGTGTAGAGTGTTTCCTGTTCTGATAAATAAGAGACTGAATGGTGAAATGAAGGTGCATCCAACGGTGCTGTGGTGTCGTGACAAGAAGGCCCATTCAAAAGCATGAGTAACCAATAAGACATAACAGATCTGGTGTAGGAGGAAGTATGATTAAAAAAGGGTTAGTGTTATTCATTAAGCAAATATGAAGAGCTTCTGCATAACAAAGGAGTTGCAATTTTTTAAGGTTCTCACCATGGGATGCATGAAAAGAAAAAATAAATACATAATCACGCAAAAATATGCATTTAATGGTAGAGTAAGCCGTTTATCTTCATCTAACACCCACAAATAGCTATTTGTGTCCTTTCTACTTCCATTTCGTGTCCTGAAAGAAATCATGCTCTTTAAATCAGTCAGAACCAAGTTATTGTATTCATATGTTAGAACTTTTCTGTATGATAGTCATACAGAAAGGACAGGACAGATACAGATAGGACAGATAATCATGTAATTTTGCTGTACTTTTTAAAAAGTTTTACCATAATCAGTTTTCAATCGATCTCGGTGTGTTTTCCTTTATCGAAAAAAAAAAAAAAACCATGACAGAATAATTCCCCTTATCAAAGCAATAACATCTTAAAGAGAGATCTCCTGCTGGTAGAAATAATTTAACCATGAAGCTGTTAAAACACATTTCGTTTAAATAGACTACGAACCATAAAAATACTTTAAATTGTTTGCTTACAAAGCAATTATAAAATAAACTGATGACAGTTTGGTACAAAGTAATATTTGGTAGACTTAATTTCTTAAATGTCAAGTCAAACAAAAGTGCAAAGTAAGGAAATATTAAGGGGGTAAAATTACTAGGGATGCACGATATTGGGATTTTGGCCGATATCCGATATGCCGATATTTTAAAACTCATGTAGCCGATAACCGATATCGATACCGATGT